ACACACACACACACACACACACACACACACACACACACACACACACACACACACAAAACCAAAAATCCACATTAAAAATTGTGGTGTTGCTATGCAGAAAGTCAACATTCTCCCTAATTAAAATATTACTCATATATTACATTATGCTGCAAATATTATAGATTTCAGTTTATATACACGATATAAACAAATAGTCACAAGGCATTAAAATGAACACAAGTTGTTTTACATGTGGGAAATCCACAATAAGCAGTACCAGCCGTACGGACTCTTACACAGTTGTAGACAGTTGAAAACACAGCTGTAAGCCATTCGTCCACTATGAGAGATGGCTAATGGGTAAGAACGAGGCGTAAATAAGGAGAGGGAAACGAGGGCAGAGATGCTCGCTGAATGGCCCAGCCCTCCCCTGAGCAGGACGGGGAGCACCTCTCCTTCTCTGCTCCGAGCTGCTTTCTCCCAGCCCTCAGCCATTTTGGAAAGAAGGGGGGGAAAAAGTGGCTGCTTTCTCTCTCCCTCTCTCATTACGTGGCATTGCTTTGGAGAGGTTTCGGCAGCTGTGTTGTACAGCAGCGGAGGAGAAACACTTTGCAGCGTGCACTTTTGGAAGTAATCTGTACGCAAAGATAAATTTCTAAAAGGAAAACGAAACTGCTTCCATTTTGACTTTTACTGAACTTTGTTTCCCTCGCATTTTAGCTCCAAAGTTTTTTTTCCCTCACCTTTTTACTTTTTATTTTTTTGTTGTTTTTGTTACTTTCGCTGTAGTTTTGTAGGCAGATCTTTTCACTCTTGTCTCTATTAGGTTATATCTCCCCCCACCCCCCTTGCCTCCAACCCTGAATTTGCTTTTATGTAAGAGTTTAGGACAAAGGGATATGTCCAAATTTTGGCAGCAGTAAGAAGAGACAGAGCTGCAGCCAAGGATCCTGCTGGGATCCAAAAAGCTAAGCAGAAAGAAAAAAAAAAAAAAAAAAAGAAAACACCACCCTTCCCTTTGCTTGGTCACAAATTCCAGATTTCTCTTTCCCAGCCCTGCGCTCCGACTCCTCCTCATCCACATCTTACCGCATTCAACCTTTTGCCATTTCTCTCTTGCCGTACCTTTTTTTTCCAAGCTGATTTGAGGTTTTGTACCTTGGAAAACTGGGAATGGACAACGGGTTCTGAGGGCGTAACAGGGAGTGAACGGGGGGATGTTATCTGTTTACTTTTGGGTGTTATTTGGCGATATTTTTCACTGTTCCTACCACTGAATTGTTGCTGTGTTGTCTGTACTTTGTAGTCGTTTGTGTGTTTTACTGTAAGGGTGTGCTTGGATGACCACGTGTTTGTTAGTGTGGGGATTTTTTTTTTCGGTGGGGGGAACACGAGTAAACGGGTGTCTCATCTTTTTCAATGCTAAACATGCTTTTCTGCTCTCAGTCCATTTGTGCTGATGATTTTTATCTGTTTTTTGTAGGTTTTTAAAAAATTTTCGCTGAAGCACCGGCCCGCAGTTCTCCTCCTAAACCTGATTTCGTCTGATTTTAGAGGACATTTGACCCATCAGGTCCAGCCTGTGCCTCTTGGTATGTTGACGATTAAGAATACTAATCATATTCTTTCTCTTTTTTTTTCTTTCCTACATTTTGTATCTGAGGATTTTAGTGCGCATATCGTGATATTGATCACTGATTTTGTTTTCTGTTTATTTGGCTGATAATGTCTTAAAAAATAATCAGATTATGAGGTGAAAGGTGTTTACTTTCCGGCACTTTGTTGTCTTAGTTTAAAGTTTACGAAATACATTAAATAAATTATCGATGCAGTTTTGGCATCTCTGTTGGCGAATGCACTTATTCCTCATTCTTAACCTAAAAACGATCTTTTAATAATCTTAGGACAAGCTTTTTAGAATAATAAATAAATTTTTTGGTAAACAATCGCACTTTCATATTGTACACACCTGTTATTTTTTTCATTTGATTCGCTCTAAACTTTTATTAGTGCAATATTTTGCCTTGACATTAAACATTTTCTGTGTAACTTTAAAAAAATAAATATAGATCTGACCTATAGGCTTCCTTTTGCTGAATGTCTATAAAATATAGATTTATTTTTTATTTTCTTGCTACTCTCTTGCAAAAATTTGACCCTGGAATATTGTTAAAGTTCAAATGGGCTGAACTTCTTGCTTCTTGTATGAGCTGCATTGGTGATATGTGCTGACGTTTATGTCTGCTGTGTTTCCTTGATCACGTGTTGGAAGGCGTTCATGTTGAATGGGTGGTACCCAAAGCTCCAGAGCGTAGAGTGACTTGCTCTCTTGAACTTTTTTTTTCCTCCCTGGGTTTGGCTTTTCTTACGTGCACTGTTGAGGGTTACTGCCAGCTGCCACAAACCCGTAGATCCGAACTTGTGGTGACTGGGTGCACAAGCTCGTATCTATAGGTATGTGTCTTCCTGGCAAACGCAGCCACCTGCCTGTTGCCTGTAAGAAAAGCAGAACCAGCAGTTTCTGAAGCTGGTTCCTGCCTGGATACGCTCTCTGGAATAACCAGACCCTGACGGCTGGGATGCAGGATTCTCTCAGCCAAAATTATCCCACGTGTGACGTCTTTGTTTGGTGACCCCACCCAAAGCAGGAGATCTGGACTTCGTCATGCTTTTGACATTGATGCAATTAAGCAAACGGCTGCTTCACAAAAAAAAAAAAGAAAAAAAAAAAGAAAATAACTTCACTCCATGTAAAAATGTAATTGTTTACTTTAAAAATCTCTGTTATTTCTTGATGATGTTACCCTTAAAACTGTCTTTTGCAGTGGTGGATCTGACGTGCTGCCATCTCCTCTGGTGTTCCACAGGTTGAGGTAGTAGGTTGTATAGTTCAGAGTGACACCACAGGAGATAACTGTACAGCCTCCTAGCTTTCCCTGAGGACACACAACACACTCTGTAAACCAACTTCTGCAAATATAATCTAACAACACGGCGCAGGTTTAGACGCTCCTCATAAAATTTTATTTTGTTATAAACAATTTTTTTTCAGGTTTTCCGTTCCGACAAATGCCTCACATTTTTACAACAAGCGTGACCCCTCATCTGATCAGACTCACAACGATAACACAATGCTTCAGATGATGTTTGAGATGTTTGCTCTGACGATATGCCACTGAAGGGAAACACCACACAGCCGCAGGGAGAAGAGCACGGTCCTGGCAGCCAATTATGTATAAAGTTCAGTTTCACTTAACCAAAACGGTATATTTCCTCTGCGCAGCTATGCTGTAAAGAGACTGCTGAGATCAAAAACAGGCTGTACCAACTTTCACTGCTCAAACCAAAAAAAAAACAAAAAAAAACACAAACCCCTGAAATTGTCCAGGTTCCCGACAGCAGTTTAAAAAACACATTTATTGCTTAATTTGGGTGTGAATTTCTTTTTGCTATCTGCTCTTCATAGATGTGAGCTTATTATCTGTTCTGTCAATAAACTGCAAAGTCCAATTCTAAAAAAATAAATAATAAAAAACTAAAAAGGGGGGAGTTTTTATAGCGGTGTTGTAATAAAGATTTTTCAAACACTAAAATAATTGTAAATAAATACAGTTTATTTTAGCAGCTTTATTTTTTTGTCTTCCTATGCGTGTGTTTTCAGTCTGAACAGGTCCGGTGGGTAGGAGGAGGTTCTGGATGCAGTCCTGTTACAGAGAGATGGTTTCCTAGCAGTGTGGTATGCTGCTGTGCGCAGATGTGTAGCGCAAAGAGTGTCATGGTGATGAGAGACTGTTTCCACTTAAACTCTTTGCTCTCTGTCTCAAGGCCACCGGGTTCGACAGCGGTGGGGTAAGGAGCTCTTTGAGCCCGAGTGAAGAAGGGGGCCCCTTGGTACGGGGCAGCTTTCTAAGAGCCTTCAGTTACAGTAGACACAACATTAATCTACGGACTGTGCTTTGTCACTGCATAATTACTCTACATTGTGTATTTTTGTCTTTATGGAAGCAGTTTTTCTCTTTTTTTTTGCATCTCTTTTTGGGTGAGGTGCTTCGTTGTGTGCAGTGTGCAGTGTGTGTTACAGTGTACAGCAGGAGGCACAGTGGAGCTCAACATCCCAGGGTTTTTGTGCTTAAAAAGCATATTTTTTATAGAACTTGATCTGTCTATCAGGTTTGGTTTTAGAGATTGAAAAGAAATTTTAAAAAAAAATTGGAGAAGGTTTTAAAATAAATTCAATTTGGAAATAAAATACGTGAAAGCTGAAAAACTTTGAGTTTAAAATGATAAAGTGGAGGGAGAGTGTGTAACAGTACTGGACCACACAAGGTTTTTATTTTTTTTTTTTGGCTGTCATTGATCTCGCTCTATTGTGTGCTGTTCGTCAAAAGAACCCTGTTCCGGTAATTCCCTCTCCTTTCCCTGTGGTCTNACTTTATAGAGATGGAGTTTTAATATTTTTTGAGACCCTGGCAGCTCGTTATGTGCATCTGCTGCTGTATGAGTTTATGTCCAAGATTTGGGTTTTTTTTTTTTTTTTTTGGCTGTCATTGATCTCGCTCTATTGTGTGCTGTTCGTCAAAAGAACCCTGTTCCGGTAATTCCCTCTCCTTTCCCTGTGGTCTCGCTTTCGTACAATCTCATCTTTTTTTTTCTTTCCCCCTTTTCCCCCACCAGCCTATTCTTCTACTTTACAGTGAATAATCCTGATCAAACATAGGACTAGTAACCACCAGGATTCCCGTTACATTTCCTTTACCTCTTCCTGAACTAGTGCATTTGTACTCCCTCGCTCCCTCCTTTTCTCTTGTTCCCACCCTCCTTTTTCTCCATGAATCGCACGCTGTAACACCGAGTCGCTTTCGCACACACAGAGGGCGAGAGACACAGGAACAGAACACTGGACTTGCTGACTGGAGGAGGATTTTTTTTTTTTTAATGAAAAGGAGCACGGCCACTGTAAGATAAAAATATGACTGTCTTTTTTTTCCTCGTGTTCTTTCTTTCTCTCCTCTGCGACTCCACGCTCTCCTCTCCACCACTTTCTCTCTCATTCCTCCTTTCTGCATCCCTCCTTTCCCCTCCATATTGCAGGCCTTCATAGTCTTAAGTGATTTCAGCTGTGGGAGGAAATGAATGGATATTTATTTCTCTGTTTTTTTTTCCTCCCCTGTTTCGATGGCTGTGTGTGACAGGCAGAGGGGGCGAGCGGTGGCTCCACAGTTTGTCTGCCCTCGTGACTTGAAGCTGCAAACCATGAAGAGTGCAGGGCAGAGGAGGGAAAGCAATCGCAGCGGCGCAAGCTCAAACTGCGAGGTGTGATGTAGCGAGACCAAAGCACCAAGAAGGAGCAGAAAGAAAACATGAGACAGATTGTGCCAGGAGACCGTGCAGACAGACAGACAGACAGACAGGCAGGCATTAGTGTCACATGGAGAAAAAGGGGTGAGTAGCAGCAGGCTGAGGCACTACAGCAACAGGCGTTACACGTTTTGTTCCAAAAAATTCTCTCCCGTGGCTATTTGGATGCTCTGTATGCGAGACGGCTTTTCATTTCTTTCTGCTTTAATATCTGCTAAATTTAGAGCATCGCTTTCGTTGTAATTCTAGGATCTGATGTGCAGCTGGGATTCATATTCAGCTTTAGGGAATGCTGAGATTGTGCATTCTTGTGGTGTGGATTTTTGAATTATATTTCTTTTGTTAGACAAACATTAGACACTTGAGGACTTTAAAAAGACTGCAGCCATTCTGCTCTTGTCCGTTCTTTGTCGTTTGTTCTTTCTCTGTATCGTCAGCAGGCATTTGCAGCACTACAGGCCCATTGATCTGCCTTTTTTTCCTCCTTTCTTTCCTGTGCGTGTCATTTCTCCTCAGTTCTGCTTTTTGTGAAGACGTTTTACAGCGTAGCTCTTGTTGTGTGTGTGTTTTATGTTACGGCTTTGTGTCTTTCTGCAATAGTTTCCAATGTCTGTTGCATCAGTTTCACTACTTTCCTGTTAAATCTGTCTGTCTCTAACCCCCCTCACATCACACCTGCTTTCCCTCACATCTCTCTGTCTCTCCTCCTGTCTCTCTCTCCTCCTGCACATGGTACAGTCTCGCATGTCTGATCAGCAGACGGCTAGACAGCAGCAATCTGCTCGAGCAGCCTTGTGTGCTAGTCCGAGCGAGCTGCTAAAGAAAGGCTGAAGAAAGAAAGCAGCACTAAAAAAATCTTCCTCTGCTTGTCTCTGCAGC